AAATTATAAATGAATTCAGAAAAAAAATGAATTATCATACTTGATCAGCAAGCATAAGAACAGTTTTCATTGTGAATCGTCGCGAACAAAAATTAAAGAGATCCTCAAGTGATGGTCCAAGTAAATCCATTACGAGAACATTATAATCTTTTTCTTGTGCATAATATCGTATATGTGGAATACCAATTCCACCTTGTAGAATTTTATATAATTTTGATTCATATAATAATTGTGGATGTCGAGCTTTAACTGATTCAAGTTTAATAGCAACTTCTTCACCATTTGTTATATTTATACCCAAATAAATATCACCAAATGAACCAGAACCTATCTTACGTACTAATCGATATTTACCACCGATTAAAAATTCTGATTTTGATGATAGATGTAAAGATGAGCCTTGGCCCGCTGTTAAATCCATGGTTATAAGAAGTTTGATTTATCTGATTTTGTTTGATGGAAATAGAAAAAGAAGAGAAGAGGATCTAAAAATGAAATAATAATGAAATATTTGTCGACAAAGATGAGTCAATATCTGATGACCGTGAGAATAAGTTTGATATACACACAGCCTGATGATTTCGCCATGTCTCTGGTCGCTGTCCTTACGGAAGAATAAAACAATTAGTTGAGTAATATTCAGACATCTATGCAGATTGATTTTAGTTCTATGTTCAATAGAGACATCTATTGAAGTAAATATATTCATTAATATAACATTTAAATGTTTTCGTTGTTTAATTTCTCTTTGATAATTTTTTCGAAGATATGACAAGTTTTTTATGTGAGAATAGCATCGATTTTTAATTAGGAAACAAAAAATGGTTACAAAAATATAACTGTGCTGGATTAAAAAAATTTATTACATAAATATACAGCATTTATGTCGTTTTTCTCTTTTTTTTTCCTATTCTTCATGATCTTCTAAAGCTTGTCGAACAGCATCATGAAATCCATCAGGATTATCAATCATCATTTGATGACCAGCACGAGGAATAATAATAAGTCGAGCTGAATTTGAACCTCCTGAACGTTGATTTAGTAATTCAACTGTTCTTTTACCAGCTCTATTTAAATTATAATAACGTAGATTAAAATAAAAAATTCATATAAACTTACTCTGTATCCATCCAATCATGATCACCATAAAAAAATGTTACACGTGGAATATTAGAATCAGCTAAACGACTTTCTAATGGGTGATGTGCCATAACATTTGATTTAAGAATACGAGTCAAAGCAAATTCGCCACTACCTGGTTGAGCACATAAATGATACTAAACGAAGTCATATATGATATTTCTATCGATAAAATTTTAAATAAAGATATCACTTACAAGATATTTTGCTACATCCTCTTTTGGTAATTTTATTTTTCCTTTATCAATTTGATCAGCAAGTGCTACTGATGTTTCAAGACCAGCTTCGCTTGTAGCTGGTGGTGTGTCTTCGACAGCTGGTCCTACTTGAAATCGTCGTGTTACATATGCATTTACTGGTCGTGGACCCATTGGACCAATCAGTCGAACAACAGATAAAGGTGTACAACCACGATTCCATAGAAATAACATTAAATTACGTATAAGACGAAATCCTATTCCTGTACGTTGACGACCAGGTGGTTCAGCTCCAAGAGTTTCTTTAGGTACACCAACAGGAGAAGCTAGTATTAAATGTGAAACACGTGATGGAAATGCCATCGAATATGATGAACCTATATAAGCACCAAATGAATGTCCTAGAATAAATTAATTTATAATTTTTATTTATTTTTGTTATCTATATATAATAAATAATTTACCAAGTAAAATCATTTTGTCAAGATTAACTTGAATTCTCCATCGTTCAAGTGCATCGACAAAAAATTGTTCAGCTTCTTCTGATGTTTTAGCACTAAAGCCTGGTCTTGATGATCGTCCACAGCCAAGTAAATCAATTGCGTAAACATGTTCATGTTGTTCAGCTAATGCATCAAAATTAAGTAACCAAAAACCAACACCAGCACCAAAACCATGTAAAAGTACTAGAGGTGACCTTTTATTTGTTGTTTTTGCTTTTGGATTATGTGTATGAATTGTATTTATTGTTAAATTATCACCAATTGATATTTGATTTTGTTCAAATGGATAACGAACAACTGATAATACACGTCGTTCAGCTTCAGCTAAACGTGCAACCGATGTCGGAATCCAAATTTGACGTAGCCATTCCCAAATGATCGCCATTCGTACGAGAAAAGTTTTTTATATAAATGACTCAGTTCGAACTCATTCGATACTCAATGCTAGCCAATGTTATGTCAGCTTTTAGTTATGTAAAACGACCTTTTATTGACAGGCTCTATCTCTAAAGGAAAGGAAAGACAAAAAAGTGCGTTGTCATACGAATGACTCACAAGAACTAAAAGAAGCTTGTTTTTTTTATAATATATTTTGACGTCATAACAGAAAAACAGATTTCAAATATTTTCAAGTGTTTAATAAGAAAACAATTAGCAAATGTTAAGTATTTGTTGTTAAATATATTAAAATACAATTAGTTACTAATTAAAGAAAATATCCAATAGTATAAACTATTTTAATTAGTAGATAAGTTTCTGTCTGATGTAAACAGGATATAAAATCGATTTTAATTTTCAAAAATTAAATTTTATAAAGAGAATCCATTGAAATATTTCTCAACGAATATGTTCTGTTTAATCAATCACTCAACAATTGGACATATCATTTATTAATTCTAATTCATATCTATGCATAAATGTTTTCAGTACAAAAATGATTCTTGTATTTCTCTTCGACATAATCTGCTTCTGTGTGTATTATATTCATCCTTGATCGAATAAATACTAGGAATGAAAAACTATATATTCTAACATAGTTAGAATGATATTATATTCTTTCTCACTTAATCCTTTGATTACGGAGTTTTTATTTTGAATAAAAAGGTTTTTTCTATCATGAAAAATACTGAAATAAACTTTATTGCTATATTTAAACACTTTTAGAAATGTATTAAAACATAGTAGTCAGCACGTATATATATATACGTGATCTGTAACCGAAAGGGTTAATGGATTTAATTAAACTAATACAATACCTATATGAGATATATCTATCTATATTTTTCTTCTTTTATTATTGTAGCAGTATATTACATTCTAGATAATAATAATAATAAGATTTTTATTAGAAATGTATTCATATTCATGCGTTGTTAGAAATGTGACTTGCATAATTCTTTTTTGTAATTGCTAGTCTTTTGTTTTGATACATTTATTCTATTTATTCAAATGTACATTCATAATATGTTCTTAAGGTTGATTAAAATAATCCAGTTGTTATTTTTACAAGTGTTAGAATTATCATTGCATTAGTAACTATTTTTCGTATTATTTAATAAAGAAGAAAAGCGAAAATTTCGATTTTTCATGATTTCGGTAGTCATATATTGATAATCACAGAAAGAATATAAACATCAATTAAAATCAAAAATATTTTGATCATCGATAACACATATAGAATGAATGAGTGATAGGATTTCGCTTGATGTCACTTGTTGTCGGTATATCTGTAAAGGTAAAAAGAAAAAATTCATATGTCAAAATGAAAATGAAAATCTTTTCTGTAGAGTTTAGTCAAAGTAAGACATTATGTCATGGCTGTCTTTAACTTCCTACTTTAGGAAGTAGTAAAACAGCAAGTTGTGTATTATTCATATTCTAAACATCATGACTGATCCTAGTCGACCACCACATACTGGTCATGCTAGTGAATTTTATATGGCATGCCGAGAGGGTAATATAGATAAGGTAAATCGATATCTTAAAACTATGACTAAGAGAGAGATCGATCTTATCGAAGAATCAAATAGAAGTACGGCTCTACATGCAGCATCGTATCATGGACATTCTGAAGTAGTGAAACGTTTATTAGAACTTGGTGCTAGTACACATACTCATAATGGATACGGCTACACAGCTGAGCAAGAAGCAGGCAATCAAGCAACTAAAGACGTATTTGCAAAAATTAAAAAATAATTTAATGTTTACGATTTATATTTTTATTTCTACTGAAATATGTTCAATCATGTTTAAAATTAGACTTGTGCTTTTATACTAGTCGTTAATATTTTATATGAATAAACTACTCCGGAATTTTATTTTTTCCTAGAGTTTTTTTTTCTAACGATCTGATTGTAATTAAGAAATAAATCTATATAATGTCTTTATATATGAAATTTTGATTAATTAGATTAATAAAGTTATTCATTCTAAACAAATATAATGTTAAACATCAATACAATAAATGTAAAGTATTCTATTTTGTTTCATCATTTAAAAAAATAGATCAATTTAGATTTAAAAATAAAAAATTGACTATCAACAGTTAAAATTTCAATTTTCAAAGAACGATCAATATCTTTATATTTTATGACATCAATATTATAAATATTTTTTTAGTTAATAAAATCAACTCGATTGCATATAAACTTTCTGTAATGTTACGTTCATATAAATCTAAGATTAGATCTTATTTCGTCGTCAAGATTTTGATTAATATTAGTTTTACTTAAAGTGAAATCTTCAATCGATTTCAAAAACTGTAGATTCGACAATCTACACCATATCATGTAAGTTTTATAAAAATCTAATTACCACACGATATTATACGTATACGAATCAGTAAACTCACCATAAGTAGGACATTTTAGATAAAAAAAAGAAATTTGTAATATTCTAATATAGAAATCACTATAACATCTGTATTTCAAAAACTTAGTACATTTCATTTTCTTTCTTTTTTACAATTCATCGAAGCAAAAAATATACAGAAAAAATAAATTATTACAATATTATTTGATTAATTCTGATTTATGATAACATATATATATATATTCAAAATCCATAGAAATTCTTTACATACCAATAATATGATGATGAGATTAGTATTGAAATGTATAATTAGAGGTTTCTCTGCACATATATAGTCTCTCTTTTTAAAAACTTCTTCATATTATACACTTTATTATATATTCAAAAACTTTCTTCTTCCTATATCTCTAATTTATATTACGTATATTGTTTATACCTTATTAATAATATGAATCAGCATATTCTAATATAATAAGAATAAAAGTTCAATTATTTTACAAGATTATAAATTTGATCGATTTCTAAACATAAACAATAATTAGAAACATTGATAGATAATTCCAAGAATTTTTCATATATATTTCAATATGCAAGTTTCAAACATACGACTTTCATTTTTACATCCGTTAACAGATTTTTAAAGATACAAAGAAAATAAAATTATTCATGTTTTTCCCATTACATTTTAGTTCTTGTTGTAGAACTCATAATAGTTGTAGCAGTTGATGTATTTATTGTAGTTGAAGGAGTCGGAGTCGGCGCTAATGCTGTAACAAGGATTTTAAATATACTATATCTTAAGAAGAAAAAAAATAGAACACTTACGGGTAGATCTTGTCAACGGATAACCGATACCAAAACCAATAGCAAAAAGAAGTAGTAGTAGGGCACACGCACCCATAGTATAAAGTGCATATTTCTTTGTAGATGATGCTTGAACAGGTTCTTCTAGTCTAAGTAAAACAACGAGTAATTGTTTTTATTCGACAATAAAACTAGACCTACTTTTCACAAGCTTGTTCCACTGTATTTTGATCTGGTTCTGAATCTGGAACTGAACTGACAACTGATGCACTTGAAAATGAATTTCGTCCAGAACTAACATCAGATGGTGGTGAAGGCGATTTCGGTGCTATTCGCCCGCGATTAACTATTCGTGGTGGTCTCATCGTCCACTTTCAAATCCTATTTATTATTATTTTTCTCCGTCGCAAAGTGTGCTTGTCGATGATTTTTGACTGATGCGTTTCAAGTATTATTCACTTATGTAAAAAAATGTTTTTTTTCTTCAAACATATAATTCATATAGAAATGCGCTTGTATAAACAACATACCATATTTTTGGATGACAACAATGTCCTCTTATCCAATGCAATAGTTTTTCCTTTCTTCTTCTTTTTTTTTTACAATTCTCTTGTTTTTTTCTCGTTTGTTTTTATTATAGAGAGAGAATCTTATGGTGTTCATCAAGAACGTAATTAAAACGATTTATTTGGTTTCTTGTTAAGACAACATTCTTTAATAATATATTCATAGAATAATAAAAAATTGAAACAAATAGAGCAAATAACATCCGAGATGCGAAATGAAGTAAAGTAAAACAAGATTTTTTTTTATCAGTATTACTACTGTTTATTTGTATTTACTCGAGGCGATTTCATGTTCGATGATGTTATTTTTTTAAAACATTTGTTCAATTGAAAAATACTTGAAATCACAATGTTCGATTTTTTCTCTCTAGGTAATCGATTGGAATTTTATTTTTATTTTGAAATAAATACAAGAAAGCAAAAAAAAAAAGACTTATTAAAATTTTCTTAAATTATATTTATCTAAAAGACCGAGTACTTCGCTCGGTAATTGTTCTTGACTGGTCGTTAAAATTCGTCGACCTGTTTGACTGTCAATTATTTCAGTAAATAAAGGATTTTGTGGCTGCTTTTGTTGTGGGTGTGGGTGTTGTTGTTGTTGCTGCTGAGGGGGTGGTGGTGGTGCTGTAAAACGATTATTAAATGCAACGGGTCGTCGAGTATTACATAGTTGGGGATGATTTTGATTACTGTGTAAACTATGAAGAGATGGTGAGGGTGAAGGTGGATGAGAAAAAGGAGTAGCAGCATATAATTCATGTACGGATTGATGTCGTGATAATGGTAAATTCATTAATGGTAGCTGTGCTCTTTGTGGGTGTAGTAATGGTGATGGTGGTGGGGGTGGTGTTCGAAAAACGGGACCCTGAGAAAATGCATTTGGTCCATAAGATGGACGTGGTTGAGATTGTGAACGTTGTGTTTGTGTAGCCATAGAATTAGTTAGATGAGGTGTACGTGGATTTGACGGTGATCGATGATTAATATGTTCTTTTGATTTTGCTAAATCATTTATTGGCACTGGCACAAGACGATCAGGCAATTTTTCATATCGGACAACTGTTTCAGTAACAGTATAATTGTTTGCTGTAGCTGTTTGTCCGCCACCTTGAATATGAGTACTACTTTGTTGATTTCGTAACTGTTGTTTTTGTTGTTTAAGTTGTGTACGATGATGATGAAGAGTATGCAAATATTTTGCTGATTCAATTTCAGTACGATTATCTCTTGATAAAAACCAGCGTAATGTTTGATCTGTATATGATTTTGCATTATATTGTGGTGAAAGAATTTGTTGAGCTGTTTGACGAATTTCTTGTTGTGTCAATGGTGGTATTACTGTACGATATGGATCATTGACAATAATATGAGGGAGTGCTGAGCCAAGTGGACGACCTTGACGAGCTTCACGATCAAGAATATAAAGGATATTCCAATATCTCAATGAATATGGTAAATTTGCATACATAACTCCTTTGTATTCATAAGTTGTTTTTTCTTCAATTTTAATTGTTTCTCCAGGTATACGTATATAACGAATTCTTGAACGTGGTCCATCTTCTTGTAAATAATCTGTTGAATAGGATCGACGTAGAGAATTTGCTGCTGATTCATTAATATAATCATCAACACGAACAAATAATTCTTGTTCTTTTGCATCTCGTTGATGGTGTTGTTGTTGTTTTTGTTTGTCATCATAAAAATCTTTCACGTGAATAATGCGTGCACGTACATAACGTTGTGCACCTGTATAACCAATTGATAATGAACGACGTGTTGGTTCACGTTTGCAACGTGGTGGAGCATGTTCATGTGGACGTATTGCTTCACGCATGGAATGAATTTCACGTTCAATTAATGCACGACGTTCAGCACCTAATTTAAAGAAAAAAAAATTCTTTTATTTTAGAACATTTTTTTTGTTTCTAAAAAACTAACCAAGATAAAATTCTGCTTCTGATGGATCTCCTGGTGGTGGTGGACCTTTCTTGAATTTTTGTTGATATTGTTGTTTTTGTTCCATTTGTCTTTGTTGATGTCGTTGTTCAAGTATACGTTGTTGTTGTTCAGCATCACGACGATATTTAGCATAATCAAATGGTTGATGAACAACATTATTAACTTCTCGTTTGAATATATCATGTTGTCGTTGTCGAATATTTAAGATATTTGCTGACATACTTGCTACATGTGATGATAAATCTAATAAATAATATTCATCATCATTTGCAACTAAGATTAAATGACGTTGTTGTTCAGCTTGTTGTGTTAGCATTAAATGTGATCGATGTAATTGACAAAGGCGATGTACAACTGTTCGATAACGTTGTACAAGTCGTAAAGATGTTGTTACATCAATACGTGTTACACGACGTAAATCAGTTGCATTTGTTTGATTACAATCATCACGTGAAGAATAATCAACAAGACGTAAAAGATGTGTTGGTTCAGAAAATTGTCTTGTTATTTCTTCTTCTAATTCAGTACTACTAGCTGATAAACGACCACCTGAACGTGATACAATTTCATTAACTATTTCTTTTTTCAATGATGTACACATATGACGACGTTCACTACCTGTTACAGATAGTATTATTAATTGAGCACTACCTAAAATTATAAATAAATATTTCATTTCCTTTGATGAATATATCTTTTAAGGAATATATATAGAAAGATGGTAATCATTACCAATAGTTATTCACTCAATTACAAACTAGCAAAGTACTGGTCATTTTTTAGTTTCAAATAACCATATAAAGCAAAAAGAAAAGAAATAAGACTTGTCAATAAAATTCAATTTTGAATATAATATAAATTAAAAAAATATATATCTATATAACATACCATAATGGTTAAGTTCATATTCAATTTCACATCGAATAATAACTGGTAAATGTTCTAGACGTCTTGCATGTTCAGTTCTCATACGATGTCCCTCTTTTGTATAATAATGTATTGATATTGTTGGTGGTTTTGATTTATTATGATTGTTTTGATTTTCTTTTTCATCATCATTTTGACTATTTAAACCATAATCACGTCTTACTAATTGATAATCACCATCGGACGAAGTCACAATAATATGTAATTCAGTTGATTTTAAATCTTCATTTGTATATGTACGTTCAATACGTTGAAGTTGTTTTTCAAAACGTGTTTCAGCACCATGTTGAGTTTTTTCTTCATATGATACAACAAGACATTTACAGGCACCACGTGTATGAATTTCATAGACTTCTTTTGAACGATGTTCGTCTTCACTAATTTCATTTTCTTGTACATGACGACGAACAACTTGTCGATTTATATCACATAATTGATTAATATGTATACGTGAAGTAACTTGACCAAATTGTGAACGTTGTTCAGGTACAATTGGAAGATGATCATCAACTGTCAATTGACGTCTTCCACGTTTCAATTGAAAATTATCTTCATAATTTTCTTTTTTT